GTCTCTAAAGCTATTGATTATCAGCCAGAAGACACATGGCAACAAGACATCCATTCAGGGAACCAATGGTTTAGTTAATGCCACTAAAATCAACTAACAGGGAGTAACCAACTACTGAAGGCTCTCTCTGATTCTTTTAATAACAAGGAGTTTTCTAACGTCGGCCTCACACTGGAAATGCCCAACTAGATGTACAGACAAGTGTGCCACAAGCACGGATGTTCCCGTCACCTAAGACAGGTGACTACTTCTGATAGCTCATTATGAGAATATAATAAAATGCATCCAGTGGGTGAAACGTGACATCTCAGTAGCCGGCTTCACTTTTCAAACTTCCATGGAAAACTGTCCAACAACAAGAAGCATACTTCCCTTTTATAAATGTCTAGATAAAATAGGGGAATAGAAGGAAGAGTGAATTCAGCTCTCCTAAATGAATAGGGGTAAAAACATGACATATAAATCTCCGTCATGCAGCTTTATTTCTATCCGGGTGTTTTTATAAGTACTGATATGAATAAATATCAAAATAAAAACCTACCTCATTATATCTACTAAACTGATATACATCAAAGCTCAGAATCAATAAAGAAATTTTAAGTAATGCCTTTTATTTGAAGAACTTTTTTTAAACAATATTATTTAAAACTCCGAGACTTTCAAAAATAAAGTTAAATACTTTACAAGTCTGGAAATAAAACTTATTCAAAACAAAAATTAATTTCCCACCTTTCCTCAGAACCAGTTTTTAGAGTTAAACCAAACTGATTTCACTTACTTGTCAGTGGAAAAGGCACCTTGCTGGCATTAAAACACTGATGGGTCAGATTTTGAAAAATAAAACATAAAATTTTGAAAGAGGAAAAATACTCAGGAATCATCTTTAGAAAAAATTACTTCTCTCTAGTTAGCCTCATACATATGACCTACAGGCTAGAAGATTTGGGAGTGTTGACCTGGAATTTAAATCACTTTCACAACTTCAAGATTACATGTTAACAAAACTAAATGTTGTCAATTACCTGCTATGTTCACATTAAATATTTAATCTACAAGTCTCTGCAAGAACTGAAAAGCCCAAAGAAAACATATGATTAGATTAAAATTTTAGTAAATCCCAAATGAATTACAGAGGTATGTTTTCTTGTGAGAGAATAACATTTTAAATGGGTGATGCTCAACCCCGAACAAAAGCAAAGCACTAAGTGAGAAGAATCAGTATTCTTAAAGTGTGCTGGTTGTATTTGCCTTTATTCCATCCATTAACACTAAACAGTGGGAGGCATCTTTAATTATCCTAGCATCAATTTGGCAACTGGTCAAAAGAATCCAAGAACTTTTCCATATACACACACTATGTAAAAGAATATTTTCATTAGAAGCAACAAACGGTTTATAGTGTCCTTCACTCAAATTAAGTAGGATGTTCTTAATATTGAGTCAATTGTATCTTTATAAGAGTAGCTACTAAGGAGTCAATAAAGTTTTATTACTAAGAGTCTTTTAAAAAGTTATTTAAAAGCTTTTTACATTCTTAAACAAATCAAGGACAAATAGTTATATTCTCCTTGATTTGGATTTTCATTACTCCAAGTTACTGAGTAACAGGCCAGTTCAGAATTCAGAATAACGTGTCTTAACAAGATCATTCTATTACTCTCACTACTTGGGTAAAATTCATACAGGTTTTCAAATTTTTTAAATATGAAATATGCACTTAGGCAAATATTACCATGCATTTCTACTCAGACTGATAGTTTTCAGTTGCTACTTCAGAAATTTGTGCCAATTCAACACATGAAATTAGTTTGGACCACCGCCCAATAAGTACTGGCAACTAGAAAGTTATCAGCATTTGAAAATTGAGCATCCGCTTCACAGAAGTGAATACCAGGGAAGATAGATTCTGACAGCAAAACTATCTGACAGCAAATATGTTTAATATTTTATCATCTGTGAACCTATAATAAATGAATGGATACTTATGGTATCAATGGAGTCAGTAATGAAACACAATGTAGCAAATAAATTCCTACGCCTACACAAGTTATAATATAAACTATTTAGACCCTGTGATCAAGATGTGATACTTAATTCTAATTTTATCTAAACATAATTTTAAATTGAAGTTGATTGGCATATGCTAAAATATATTTATTTCACTTGCATGGTATCATAGCAGCTTAATGTGTCCACTGAACTTTAAGTCTTTAAGAGAAAAATATTAAGAATCCATTTAAGTTGCAATTAAAGTTTTCTACTTTTTTCCAAAAGGCTGAAGTCTTTTGATTATGTTATTAGTTTAGCAAAATCTTAAAAGATAGGGTTTATGCAAAACCAAAAAGCATGACTAGATTACCTTGGTAATGATAAGATATATGAAAGGGAAATGTAAAACACAGAATTTATAGAAGTCAGTAAAATGGTGCAATTTTCTAAAATCCTGTGTCACTATCTTGTGATAAACTCTTTTTTCCCCTGAATTACTTACTTTGCATTTAGTTTCTTTTAAACTACATCCAAGCTGACTTTTTTTAATGCATCAAAAAAGCACCGTCTTATTTAACACATTAGAGACAAATCTGCCACTCAGATTTATAAAATTATGTTATTTCTAAAGTAAATTTTAGTGCAATAATATAGGAAGTTTAAATAAATCCATAAACCCCTAAGAATACTAAAGTTGGGACTGAATCTCTTGGGAAAGGAGGTCTGTCATTCTTTCTTTTGAACATTATCAAAGTGATAATGATCAAATAGAAAGGCATTTCCACAAACCTCAAATTAGAATACTGACTGGAGCATATTCTTGGACCTTAAAAATTCTACTGATTAACTTTGTCTGGGCTGGTTCAAAGATACCATGGCATCCAGAGCATAGCTGTTAAAAACATGACCTGTGACAAAAATCAATGTGACCAAACAACAGTATCAAAAGCATAAAACAGAGATAACCTAAGATAAAATGTCCTCACGCTAACTCAGATTAGTTTGACAGGTTAAGAAGTAAGGGTAGAGGGGTATCTATCCACTGATTCTGTTTTAACCCAGATGACCAGAACATCCAAGTACCCAAATAAATTAGTGAGAAAGAGAGCACGCTATGAAGTTTGGCATGGGAAAGGAAGGACAACCAAGAGCAAAATGCCCCAAATTCAACTACACAATGCCACTGTCATTTTACTTAATAAGGCACTAAAAGTTTACAAATATAAATTCCTCCGTTTTGTATATGCTGTCTAATAAAGCCCAAAGGGGAAGCAAACCAACCAGCATAATGAGGCTTGCTTTTAACACCATCACAACTGCAAAGCTTGATCTATTTGTCTTGTCAGCTTTAATAAAAGGCATTTCCTCTGGCAGGATGGCTTCTTTTTCTCTTTTTCTAATAGTGGTAAGTGGCATGTCAAAGAAATAGCTTCCCATCCCACCACCCACCTCCACAAGACTTTTTTTTTCTTTTTTCTTTTTTTCTTAAACCAAACTTTCAGGGATGTCTCCAGTTCCCAATTCTGCCAGGCAAGCAATGAGAGCTTGGACTACCTGAGTGTGACTATCTTTCCTAGAGTAGCAGGGCAGGCGGGCGGTGGGGGGGTACTCTTTCTCCTTTTGGCAACCGGTGGGCCGCCATTGGGGGAATCTGCCCCTATCTTCACTTGAGATGACATTAAGCGGGAAATCCCTCCCATGCCTGCAGAAGCAGGAAGGCGGGAGGACCACGGAGAGGTCCACTGGGAGGCAGGAGGCACTGGGAGCGCGCTCCACACTCCTCTCCCCAGGCGAGCTGGGCGCACAGCAGCCATCAACTCTGCTCTCGGAATCCCGCCACTGTCCTTGCAACTTTCACTCCAGCCCAGGGTGGGGAAAGCCGAGATTTGGGGAATAGTGTTATGTCCCTCCTGGGCGGGCACCGAAGCCAGCCCGCAGCTAGAAGCTGGCCTGGGTCCCAGAGAAGCAGAGCAATTTGGACCCAGGGGGGCAGACTGCTGCCCACAGGCCTGGGAGAAAGTGGGGCGCTGAGCGGAGCTGTTCTGGATTTGGGGGGGCGCAGGGGGGGGGGTCCAACTCCACACTCAGTGTCCATGAACAAGGGGTGTCCGCTGGTGGTCACCGTCCAGCAGCCGCGCTCGGGCAGCCCCGGGTGCCCACCTCCAGCCTCTGGCGGACACGGTGGGCTTCGGGGACCGCGCCTGCTCCCCCGGCTGCACCCTGCCATGGCAGGGGACGAAGCGCTCCCACCTCCCTGCTCTGCCAACTCCAGCAGCTCGCCCTGCACACATGATGTAACCCGGCATTAGATCAAACTTTCTGGCACCTTGAGCCCACCCAGGGGTGGAGGAGGTGGGAGAATCTTCGCCACTGCCAAGAGCGCCCGCCGGGCCCGGGCTGACCCAGGGGCTGGATCATTTCCTTGCAGTTAAAAGAGGAAAATAACCTAAAGCTTCCGCTTCCCTGCCCCCCCTCACTTCCCCCAGCCCCGTGCGCTTTTTGAAAGCACCAAGAAAAGAAAAGAAAAATTTTTTTTTAAAGAAAACATAACAACTTTGGGGGTATTTGGCGGGTCTCCCTGCCATCCCTGCGCACCCACGCTGCAGGCCGGAGCTGGCGGAGGCGCGCCCCAGGACTGCCCGAGACCCAGCCCCGCGCCGGGACCGGGATGCTGGCCACCCTGCCCGGCGGGTCAGCGGGGGAAGTCCGGCTTCCCGGGCTCCCGCCTTTTCCGAGTCTCCTCGCTCTCTCCGCAGAGGCAGCCGGTCGGGGTGGACCCGGGACTCCCAGGGGCGCCGGGCCTCTCTCTCCGCGGTGGTTTAACAAAGGGAGGCGCAACGGAGGCGCTTCCTGCCGGCGCCCCGAAACCGGAGCGCTTCCCGCCGGCGCCCCGAAGCCAGCAGCGCGCTGCCGGGGCCGCTGCTCGCCGGTCCCTGCTGCCGCCGCCGCGGCTCCCTCCGCAGGGCCCCGAGGCCCAGGCAGCCCTGACTCTTCGCCCCCTCTTGCCTTACCTGGGGTTGCTGCTGTTCCAGTAGACGGCGTAGCGGTCGGCGACGGCCTTGGAGCCCGGGTCCTGGCTGCGCACACACATCCAGAGCAGCAGAAACAGGAGCGTCAACATCTCCACGTGCGGCATCGCGCCCGGCCAGCGGCGGAGCGCCGGACGCGCCGCTCCGGGGGGGAGAGAGAGAGGAGAGAGAGGGGGCGGGGGGAGAGAGAGCAGGGATCCGGAGAGAAGGAGGGAAGGAGGGAGAGCACGAGAGCGAGAGAGAGAACAGGAAGCCGAATAAATAGGAATAAATAAAATGGAAGAGGAAGGAGGAGAGGAAAAGGCACACACCAAGCTGGGGGCGGGGGAGAGCGAGGAGAAGAGAGGCAGCGGCGCGGAGGGGCTGAATGCAAACTCGCACCCCCACTGGAGGGTTCAAAAGGAAAAAAAGAAATCACAAGATGGAGAGAAGCAGGCGAGTGTGCGGCGGCGGCGGCGGCGGCGGCGGCGAGGGCGGGGAACGGGGTGCCAAGCTGTGTCTAGGGCGGCGGCGGCGGCCGGTCACCCCGGGAGCAGGAGGTGCGCGCCAAGCCGGGCGGCGGCGGCGGCGGCGCGGGTCGGGGCGGGCGGCGGCGCTCGCTGCACGGTCGCCGGGGGCTGCTGCTCGGTCACCGGGGTCTGCTGCGCGGTCACCGGGGGCTGCTGCGCGGTCACCGGGGGCTGCTGCTCGGTCACCGGGGGCTGCTGCGCGCCGCAGCCGCGGGGAGACATGCACCGGCCCACGGGCCAGGCTCAGGTCCCCGCCGCCCGGGGCTCTCGCGCTGCGCCCCGCTTTGGCTTCGTTCCTCCAAGTTACTTCGGCGGCGGCCGGTGGGCAACTGCAGACGGAGAGAGAGCTCCGTGCGGACGGGGGGCTTCGCGCCGGTGGTGGCCGCCTCCTCGGTGCCTTCGCTGGGCAGCCCCCAGCAATCGCGGAGGAGTCGGAGGTGTTGCGGTTTCGGGGCGGTGCGCTGCGCTGGGAAGGGTGGAGATCTCTCCAGCAGCCACAAACCCAGCCCCGCCGGCGTCCTGGAACGGGTTAAGCGGCAAGGAAGCTGGCGGCGAGGAGGAGCGGTCTTGCTTCGTAAACCTCCAAAAAAAAAAAAAAGTTTGGCTCTCCGCGTCCTCCAGCAGGTCCCCGGCGGAGGCGGACTGCGGCGGCGGCGGCGGCCCCGCGGGCGCTGGCCTCGGGGTTCCCCGCGCTGCTTCTCTCGGCGGGTGTGGGTGCTCCGAGGTGAAGGGAGAGCAGAGGTCACCAGCCAGCCGGGCGGGCGGAGCTGGGATGCCCGCGCCCTCAGGACGACGCCACCCCAGCCGCTCGGCTGCAGGAGCGGGAGGGGAAACAATCACTTTCCAACGAATCCCTCCAGCTCCGGGACGGGCTGATGTCAGTCTCCGATCGCCTTCCTTCCGGGCGCAGGAAGGAGCCCCCTCGGGACGCAGCGCCCCGAGCCCCGAGTGAGCTGCTCAGAAGTGTCCCTGCGTCTCCGACGGGTTCGGCCCCAAGCCCGGCAGCAACTTGTAGAGACGCATCAATCAGTGTGAAAGGGAGGGCGTGGGGGGGGGGCGGGGGGAGCGCACGAGCGAGCGGCACCTCCCGATGACTACATCAGAAAACCTCTCCGATCCTCCCGCAGCTGCTCGTCTTCCCCGCCGTGGGCGCAGCAGCCAGGAGAGGTGCAAACCGCCAGCCGAATGCTCACCCCGCACCGGGCGGGGAAATAAACTTGAGTGCGGCGGCGGCGGCGGCGGCGGCGGCGGCGGCAGCCCCGGCAGCCCGGGAAGGATGGAAACGGCTGGCGAGAAGTGGGAAGGGGTAAAAGTCAGTTTTGCAAAAGAGAGAAGGAAAAAAAAAAGGGGGGGGGGGATCCGAGGGGGATGCTTTATGGGAAAAATCTGCTCGGGCACGCCCCTTGTTAATGACCTGCGTGTAAAGCCGACAGCAGCCGCGACCCAGCAGCCGCCCGGGAAGGAGGCGGCACGGGGAGCGCGGGGCGCGGGGGGCGCGGGGGGCGCGGGGGGCGCTGGGCGCCGGGCGCCGGGCGCGGGGCGAGCTCGGACCGAGCAGGGGGAGGCGCCGCCGGCCAGCGCCCGCCACAGCCGCTGCAGCCGCGGCCCGGGTCCGGGGGGCTGCTCCCCTCACACCCTCCCCTTCTCCCCCGTGCAGGGAACTTGGGAAGGTAGGTGCGTGGTGCAACCAGTCAAGGAACAGCCTGCTGTTTGCTTACAGATCCAGGGTTGGGGTTTTTGTGGGGTTTTTTTCTTCTTCTTCTCTTTCTTTTCGCCCACCGGATTGGCTGCTCCCAGAGAAAGAGGCGTTTTCCTGATCCCCTCCCTTCCCCTTGCCTCCCGCCCCCTCCCGGCCCCACCTTCCTCCTGACTAATTGAATTACTGGGAGTGCCGGGCGCCCTCCTCCCCACCCTAGCCCAGCGGCCGCGCGTAACCCTTTGGGTGCTGAATACCGTCCGCGCTGAGGAATGAATGATGTGACATGTTTTACCTGAGATTGGGGGTATTTCTTTTACAAAGGAATCGGTTCCAGGAGAGCCGGCATGTGTCTCCCGGGGACCCCTCGGAGGACAGGAACCCGCTGGCAGAAAGCCTGGGTAAATAGCGGTTCTTGTAAATCTCTGCCCTGGTCTTCCCAGCCACCTATGGCCCGGGCTCTCTGGGAAGCTGAGCATCTCCCCTGTGCCTTCCAATTCCCCGCTTCCTACAAGGGATCTTAAAGGTTCGTGAGCAGGAAGCATGACTTTCCTGAAAACACTCTTAAAAAAAAAAAATCAAGAAAATCCCAGAGTATGCAGAGTGATTGCCATTCAGTGGGACCGTGCCGCAGGGAGCCAATGAGTGCAGCTGGAGAGTCCATCAGAAATACGTTCCACATTTTCCATTTCAACCCCGGGGTGGGTTCGCTCCCCACTCCCCAAAGGATACATGGTTTTGAATAAAATCTTTTCGGGAGGGAACCTAAGGTGCCTTGTTATTGGAAAAGGCCTCGCGTTGCTGGACTTCCAGAGCAGGTTGCAGCCCTGTGGCCCCGGGGGCGCGATCGCTTGACAGCGAGGCCGCCTGGGCGCCCCGGGCGGCGCGCGCCCCGGTCCCCCCGCGCCCGGGAAGCCAGCCAGGCGCCGGGCTCAGCGGGGCTGCAAACCCTGAAGGCTCTTCCTCTCTCGCGGGGCTCCGCGGGCTCAGTCTGCCTGGGATCATGTTTTCTCGCTCGCTAGGGAGTTTTCTGCCTCCGTGGGGAAAGGCTGATCCCAAGAAAGGGAGCACCGTAGTTTTGCTCCCAAACTTACCTGTTCTCCCCTTTACTGGTTAGCCCAACACAATCAAATCTAACGTTGTGTCTTGTCCTGCTCTTTCAGGCTGGGAAGTTGAGGATTTCCTGGGCTTTGGAGCTGTTTGGAAGCGTCCAGACGCCCTCCAGTGGTGGCCCTCAGTCAGCACCCAGCCTGGGTATTGCCTGCAGCTCAGCCAGATGGAGTTTGATAAGAGAATCTGGGATCATGATCCATAAAGACTTGAGGGAGAAGGAACAGTTCACACCGGCATGGAATTAGCTGGATGGTATGGGCCCTTGCCTGAAAGTTGAGTCGTTTGTCGATTGCTGAATTTTTTTTCCCACCTGGGGAGATTCCGAAATTGTCCTAGGAAAAGTAACCCTTCTGTTTGTGACTAGATATAGATTGCAATCTGCATAAATATTGATTCCATGACAAATCACCCAAACAAATCATCTTCCTAATTTTTTTAAAAGCAAATTCAGTACGTTAACACAACTGCTTCTGTGTATTTCACAAAATTCCAGCAATGAGAAAGAAGTGAGAAAACAAAGTAGAGAGGTAAAGGATAATCTTTCACTTTTTAAAATCAAATTTTCATTTAAAAAGTTATTTGCTTTTCCCTCCTCATTTCTAATCTTGCTGACATTCAAGTGCTTTGCCTGTTTTGGGGCGGGTTTGTTTTTTCTGCTGCAGAAAAAAATGCATTTATTTCTTCCTTGGCCTTTTTGATAATAGCTCTAATAGGTGCTCTCCTGACGGAAGCAGTTTTGCAGGAAATACTCTGGACCCTTTTAAGGGACATCGGTGTCTTTCGGAAGAGAACACACAACTTCTGCCTTGAGAAAATGCTGATCATCATCTGAGAGTCTTTTTAGTCGGGGAAATATCAGGTATCAGGGAGTTAGCAAGCTGGCTTCCTGTGGCTTCCAAGCCAAAAGGAGGAAGAAGAAAAACAGAATTCACATCCTCTTACTTCCTATCTGAAAACACATCCTGTAACCAAAATTGATATGCAGAAACTCTACATGTCAAAAAAAAATATATAGATGTCCTACTATTTTAAATGTCTCTAATTTGTTTAGAGTCCTGTTTTAAACAAAACAAAACAAAACAAAACAATTATACACTGTGGCCTTCCTTAAAATGATTCAAGGAGTTGGAATAAAGATATTCCTAAAAAAAGAGCCAAGGAGTTGGAATAAAAGCAAACTGTTAAGAACACAATTCAAATGTCTGTGTGAAATAACTCTTAAACCTAAATTAAGTGCTTCCTTCTGTGGTTATGTACCTATGTAATTATTGCTATTAGAGTAACCAAGCAGCAATGGGTAGAACAGTGATTTTCATCTCATGGCATGCATAAGCTAATTACTAAAATTCTATGCAATATCAAAAAATATATACATATTGTGCAATTTGACCAAAAAATAGGTGTAATTTTTATTCATTTTCACTGGATGGCTATTGTGTTGGCTGTTGTCAGTTTTTTTATTTGACAGTCTAAGAGAAAATAGGTCAGTACCCCTGACCAAATAGTCAGGTATTTCATGTTTTAAAAAATTCTTATGGCACAGTGCCTGCCATGGCACACCAGTTAGAGAGGTATTATTAACTATGCACTTATTGCTGGTAATGTGACATGTTCAAGTCACATTATTCAAGTGATTTGAATTTACACAAATCAGTACTATATAAAATAATTATATTATTATTAGTCCGATGTCACAGAGCAAGCTGGCTATTGAAAGATAAAGAGCAAAGGACAATAGGGAGGTGGGGACATGAATGGGGGCGGTGGGGGATTGGAATGGGGGGTTGAGGACAAATATGTGATACCTTAATCCAGTGTTTCCCAAACTTCTCTCATGATGAGAATCACCTGGTAGAGTTGTTAAAATACATATTCCTGAATCTCAATTAAGAAGGGCTAAACTAGAATTTTTGGGAACATATAGGTAAAATTGTATACTTAAGCTTAGAGCACTA